AATTGTGGGTTTATTTCTGGATTTTCTATTCTGTTCTATTGACCTTTGTGTCTATTTTTTGTTCTAGTACCATACTATCTTGATCACTAGGAGCTTTGTAATATAACTTCATTATTGATGTATAGAAATGCAACAGATTTCTGTTGATTGATTTTGTATCCTGTGACTCTGATGAATTTGTTTATTAGTTCTAGCAGTTTTTTGGTGGAATTTTTTTGATTTTCTTTCTCTTTTTTATTAATTTTTAAAATTTACATCCAAGTTAGCGTATAGTGCAACAATGATTTCAAGAATATGTTCCTTAATGCCCCTTACCCATTTAGTCCATCCCCTGTCCCACAACCCTTCCAGTAACCCTCTGTTTGTTCTCCATATTTAAGAGTCTCTTATGTTTTTGTCCCCTTCCCTGTTTTTATATTATTTTTGCTTCCCTTCACTTCCCTTCATCTGTTTTGTATCTTAAAGTCCTCATATGAGTGAAGTCATATGATATTCGTCTTTCTCTGACTGACTAATTTCATTTAGCATGATACCCTCTAGTTACATCCATGTAATTGCAAATGGCAAGATTTCATTCTTTTTGATTGCCAAGTAATACTCCATTGTGTATATATATACATATATATCACATCTTTTTTTTCTTTCATAGTTTATTGTCAAGTTGGATTCCATATAACACCCAGTGCTCATCCCCACAAATGCCCTCCTCCATGCCATCATCCTCCTTCCCTTCTCTCCCACCCCCATCAACCCTCAGTTTGTTCTCAGTATTCAAAATCTCTCATGATTTGCCTCCCTCCCTCTCCCCCACTATTTTTCCCATTCCCCTCCCCCATGGTCCTCTGTTAAGTTTCTCCTAATCCTACTATAAGTGAAAACGTATGGTATCTGTCTTTCTATGTCTGACTTATTTTGCTCAGCATAACACCCTCAAGTTCCATCCACATTGCTACAAAGGCCAGATTTCATTTTTTCTCATTGACATGTAGTATTCCATTGTAGGGATAAACCACATATTCTTGATCCATTTGTCAGTTGATGGACACTTAGGCTCTTTCCATGATTTGGCTTTTGTTGAAAGTGCTGCTATGAACATTGGGGTACATATGCTCCTATGCATCAGCACTCCTGTATCCCTTAGGTAAATTCCTGGCAGTGTTATTGCTGGGTCATAGGAGAGTTCTATTGTTAATTTTTTGAGAAACCTCCACACTGTTTTCCAGAGGGGCTGTACCAGTTTACATTCCCACCAACATTGCTGGAGGGTGCCCATTTCTCCACATCCTCACCAGCATCTATAGTCTCCTGATTTGTTCCTTTTAGCCACTCTGACAGGCATGAGGTGGTATCTCAATGTAGTTTTGATTTGTAAATGATAAGGGATGCTGAGCATCGTTTCATGTGTCTGTTGGTCATCTGGATGTCTTCTTTGGAGAAGTACCACATCTTCTTTTTCCACTCATGCATCGATGGACATTTGGGCTCTTTCCATACTTTTGCTATTGCTGATACTGCTGCTATAAACATTGGGGTGCATGTGCCCTTTTGGGTTTTATATATAGAGTATCATGTCGTCTGCAAATAGTGAAAGTTTTACTTCTTCCCTAATGATTTGGATGCCTTTTATCTCTTTTTCATGTATAATTTCTGTGACAAGGACTTCCAGTACTATGTTGAATAACAATATTTTTTAGAAAAAAATCTTTAAGGCTCATGGTTGTACTATTCATGATGCATGAAATGCAACATTATGTCTAAAGGATTAACAGGTGAGGAGTGAACTTCAGAAATCATGCAAGGAGCCAGAAGATATTTATTATATTTAAATAAACATGTTTTTTGAACCAAATGCAATTTTATATGCCATACAGTTATTCTGAATCAGAGAAGGGGGCTGCCATATATGAATAAAGCACAACTATGTGACTTTGGACCCTACTCTTTCTGTATCTCTATGTGTTCATTTAATGTTAGAAAAGAAGTGAATGATGTTCATGATGAGATCACCCAACCCCTGCGGCCATTATTATATCTGTGCTAAAGACCCTGCTTCTGAGAAAATACACACTGAATATAAATGACATGTAAATGTAAAAATGAAAAAGGAAGAGGTACTCTAATGACCTGTTTCTCCCAAATCCTTATTGCTACATCCTTAGTTCATTTCTGCATCAAGCCGCAGATTATTAACAGCCTCCTAATTGACCCTATGTCCAATCTTATACCTCTTCAATCAATTTTATACATTTGTTTTTATGTATAAAACACAGCTTTTAAAAAACACAATTCTGAACATGTTACTGATCTACTCAAAAATCTTTGATGGTTCCCTCCACTTATAACAGAGCTCAGCATACTTTTTCTATAAAGGGCCAGATAGTAAATATTTTAGGCTTTGCAGGCTACACACAGCCTTTGTTGAATAGGCTTCTTAGTCACTGCTGTTGTTGTTGATGTTGTTGTTGTTTTTCTTACATCGTTAAACAGTTTAAACACCAATCTTAGCTCATGGGCCGTGCAAGTCTAGAGCTGGATTTGGCCCTTTAGGCTGTAATTTGTTGACCTGTAGAGTAAATAAAGTGCTAGTTCCTTAATATAGTATAGCAGTCTTTCCATAATCTGGACTACTGCTTTATTCTCGAGTTTTATATATTGCCAAAACACTTCACACACCTTCTGCTGTGGAAATTAAATTGTTAGCAGTATCTCGAAGTCCACCAAGCTGGGTTTTGTACCTCAGTACTTGTTCGTATTGCATCCACTATAATTGTCCTCCCTTATCCAATTGGCAAGCTACTTCTCTCTCAAGACTCTAATAAAGGTGTAATTTCTTCTATTAAATATTTCCTGATTGTTCATTTAGAACTCATCTTTATAACCTGTACAAATATGGATCACAGTATCGACAGCACTTCACTGTGCTTATTTACTCCCCAACTCCATTACAAGTCTCTCAAAGGCAACAAATGGCTTACCTGGATTTGTATCTCTAACATATAGAAGCCATTTAGTAAATGTTTGTGAAATGAATGGCCCCAGGCATTGTGTTAGCAAGTCATCCAACACCAGCAATAACATGAAGATAAATGAAGAGAGGATTAGTAGTCCTCTGAATTGTGCATGACCCATACATAGAAGAAAGTTATTACTTTTGTAGTCTCTAGAGAAGCTCCCTGAGTCCCACTCTTACATCTGTTAGGTATTTCCCCATACACCCATCAGGCCATGAGGATGGTTGCACTGATCCTCATGGCAGATTCTTTTGAAGTAGTAATACCATCTAAGAGTGCCTGTGTTTTTAGGATCCAAATGTGGATTCAAAACCTACCTTCCAATAGGCATACTTTAAAATTGTTCCCAGGGCTTTTAGTATTATACCTAAAAGCCATATGGAATGGTGACCTAAATAGGTGTTGGTGAGCTGCCTTTGGAATGTAGCTACTCTGTATCAGTGGGGAAAACGTGCTCTGAGTTCCAAGCTGATGACTTATGAGTTAACTTTTGAACATAACTCATTCCTAAGTTTGGGGCTGTCTCTACTTAAAATATATCAAGCACAGGTCAGAGGAACTGGAATAAGAGTCAACCAGATTAAAAGTAAAGCCATAAAAGCGAGAGCCAAAGAGAAATATGATATAACTGTGTTTCTAAAACTAGCAAATGGGGTGTTGACGTTCCTTGTTGTACACTCTGGAGAGGAGAATGTATAAAGGAGATTGACTTGGGAAAATAAACAGTAGGAGTATTCAGAAACTTTCAGAAAATCACAATAATATCTTAGCAATTTATAAAAAATTGATATTCAATAAATAGCAACTTATTGAATGCTTACTATGTGCCAGGAACCATTCTAAATTTTTTATATAGACTATTAATTACACACACACACACACACACACACACACACACAATGATCAACCTTCAGAAAGTAAACAAATAGGCCAAGGGCAGAAAATAGTGTGACTAGATAACCATCTACCTAAGAAAAGAGTGTGGGAAGAAAGAAAATTATTGAAACAAAACATAACCACCTCCTCAATGTACTATGACAGAAAAATTCCAGAGTCAAAATTAAGATGAGAAAAATAATCAACAAATTACCATAATACAAAGTGTGCAATCCATGTTAATCACCAACAATAGAAGGTGCATATGGCATCTTATTAAATGGGGAAGAAGGCGAAAAATAATCAACACTCTTGGCCATGAAGATTCTTGGTTAGAACAGAAATATGAAAGCTCATGAATGTGTATGAGAAGTGGGAGTAGAAATGGCTAGAGGGTCGCTAAGGCACATCATGGAAGAGAAGGCAGAGGAATAGGAGAAGGCAAAAGAATAACAATTTCAGTTTAGACATTTTTGTAAGAAACTGATATGATGGAAATTTAATATTTGTAGAAGTAATATTGGTTGAGAAAAGATTTATTAATATGTATAATATGCAAACTTTTAAAATAAGAAATTATAAGTATAAATTAGAATAACTTATTTAAGAATACTTTTTAAGGGATAAAGTGTTTGATACATACAAAAGATACTTCTTACTATGAGAAGCTATCATTTAAATGTGGGAATTAAGGGGTTATTTGTCCATTAGGTTCAAATTGGGGTAGACTCCTAGAAAATATACAATGGCTGCATAATCAGTGTGCTGTATATGAATTTTATCCACCTTGTGTGACAAGTACAAGGATGGTTTGTCACAAAAAACCTGGCTCTTTATACCTCAGAAAAGAACCTGTCCCTGATAGACGACTACAGCTGTAGCATCCACCTTTACCTATCTCCTACTGTTATTCTCTCTCTGAACTATTTTTGGCACATTCATGACTTTAGGTCTCAATGTGGCTTGACAAAAATGTTAGCATTTATGGTAAACTTGTTAATGAGTGTCTAGCAGGGACCTAGTAGAATGTTCAGTAAGATTTTTGTTGTTATTTGTTTTAAAAAACGTAAATTGAAATTTTACAGACCGCGTTTTCATTGTTTTTCCTCCACATTAGGATTTTTCATTTCCTTTGGCAAACTTCCTCAGTGTACCTTTTACACCCTTGTTTCTCAGGGTATAAATGAGGGGAATTAACATGGGAGTAACTACTCCATAAAATATTGAGAAGAATTTGTCCTCTTCCTGAGATTTCTTTGACTGAGGTTTCAGGTACATGTAGATGGCTATACCATTAAATACATTGACCACAGTTAGATAAGGTCCACAGGTGAAGAAAGCTTTGAGCCTGGTCTCCACAGAATGGATACTCAGCAGGATAACCACAGTGTGGAAGTAGGAAATAAGGATGATAGTGAAAGGCAGGGGCAGTGTGAACACACTGATAACCAGACCCAGAATCAGACTGACAAGAGTGTCTGGGCAGACGAGCTTCAGCGGGGCCTGGATCTCACAGGTAAAATGGCTGATGGTATTCTGTCCATAATAACAAGCAGGGATTGCAATGATTGGTAAGACTGCTACTAAGAAGGCACTGGCCCAGGTTCCCAAGGCCAACTGTACACAAACCTGATTATTCATAATGGTGGTGTAATGCAGGGGATTGGAGATTGCAACAAACCTGTCATAAACCATGACAGCAAGGAAGAGACATTCTGTCATCCCTGGAAAGAGGGATGTGGTCATCTGGGCAAAACAGCTGGTATAGAAAATGATAGGGAAGTCCCTGAAGCATTGGGCCGAGACATATGGTTCCCAGCTGGTGGAATAACAGATATCAAGGAAGGATAAATTACTGACAAAAAAAAAAAAAAATACATGGGGATATGATGTTGAGAATCCTGTCTCACTACAAAAATAAAGCTGTTCCCAAATATTGTAACCAGGTAGAAAAACATCAGTCCCAAGAAGGGAGCCTGGATTTGAGAATATTGGGAAAATTTAATGAGGCTGAATTCAGTCACCTCAGAGGCATTGTCTGCCTTTAGACTGCTCATTTAGTCATCGCAAGTACTGGGAAAGATACAATGTAATGTCACCTATATTAGGAAATAAGAGGAACAGCATCTCAGTAGCCTGTTACAGTTCACGTTCTAGACTTCTGATTAATTATTGTGTGCCATTTGTTTTAATGGTTAGACTCAGCTGTTCAAGTATCCAATGATGAAAATACAGGTTCTCTTTGCTTTTCTATCTTGTAGAACCTTGTAAGGTTAAGTTGTTTGGACTGTGTTAGATCCCCATTAGAGGTACTTACGCCTGATCAAATAAGCAGTCATTAACATCGAGTTAAACAGAATTATTTCTCTCCTAAAGGGGCATAGCTAGATGATTGACTTTATTCTTGACAAAAAAAAAAAAAAAAAAGAGGCAAATATCTACATCTCCTCACCGACAATGCACGTTTATAGACAGCTTTATTTAAGTTGGTTCGCTGATTAACAAACAATAGTTTTTAACTTTAAACTCAATGATCCAATTGTGGATGCTTAAAATACTTATTTGTTTTCAACTCTTTTTTGTTTGTTTCTTTCTTTTTTTTATTTTTTTTTATTTTTTTACAAATAGTTTATTGTCAAATTAGTTTCCACATAACACCCAGTGCTCATCCCCACAAGTGCCCTCCTCCATGCCCATCCCTCCTCCCCCCCACATCCATCAGTCCTCAGTTTTTGTCAGCATTCAAGAGTCTCTCATGGTTTGCCTCTCTCCCTTTCCCCCACCTAAGTGTCCATCAACAGATGAATGGATCAAGAAGATGTGGTTTATCTATACCATGGAATACTACATGGCAATGAGAAACAATGAAATCTGGCCATGTTTGTTTGTTTCTTACATGTCATATTAAAACCACATATGGATGGTAAATGAGAAAGTGTATATGTACCTAAAGCAATCACTCAAGTCAATGGAAAAACAACACCAGCCAAAATGACATGAAATAAATGAAGCAACTTGTGGATTTACTAAAATCTCACTCTTTGTTCAATTATTCTGACATCTGTCTTCAATGACAGAAGCTTACAATGTACAGATACTACCATTTCCATATAATACAAACAGGAGTTTAAAGGGTGATGGGAAAATTGCATTAGATAAAAGGATTTTATGAAGACAATAGTTACTGGAAACTTTGAAGAGAGATAAGTCAAATTTTGGAATGCATGTTTCCAGAAGTGCAAAAGAAAGAAGGAAGGAAGGAAGGAAGGAAGGAAGGAAGGAAGGAAGGAAGGAAGGAAGGAAGGAAAAGACAAAGCCCTGTCAGTTTTGTATGATTTCAGTAGGGAGTGAAACAGATGACCCATTGAAATCTATTTTGGCTGTAGGATTTTCTTATTTAGACACAGAACCAAATCTCTCCATACTGTATTGTTACATTAGTGCTGCATATAATTGCCTAATTCTTCATACCCAAAAAGCAGAATGTCAAAATACAGAATGAAAGTAAGGGAGTCAGTGGATTCTAAGCCTAAATTGTGGTTCAGCCACGAATAAACCACACAATCTTGAGAAAGTCAGTTTCCGTACATATTTAGTGGGAATATTAGCTAGTTTCTTGCAGGATTGTTTAAGAATTAGATAAGATTGTGTCTATAAAGAACCTAGCACAGTGCCCGGCACAATTATTAGCCACATAAGATACGTTAGCTCATTCCCACTTTCACATCCCATATAGACTTTTCCTTCTGCTTGAATTTCATAGTTGTAAACATGTGCCAAAATGTCATTTTATCCCACCTTTCTTTGTGAGATTATCACGTTATTAGAAACAATACCATCTGAAGTTTTAACTTTGAGTAACAACTAAAGAAAGTTTGACTGTGTAAGTCATTAAAATTTGTTCCTGATGGTAGGCGGGAAAAGACACATAAAAAGATGAAAATTACTCACTGACTTAGGGCTGGAGGACAGCAACAGAGAAGTGCACCTCATTCATAACAGAAGCATTTTGCAGTTGGCAACACCCCCACAAATGACTAATCTCCAAAAAGAAATTTGATTCCTTCAACTGCAAGGAAAAGAAGTTTAATACAAGCAGCTGTGGTAATAAATCTTCCTATCAGTTGTGGTTATAAGGCTGGAAAATCTTGAGTTAACTGTGCTGGTGAATCATGAACATTTATTTCTACTTGTTAAATATATTTTTCTTTTATTTACATAGAGAAGGCTTGTAATAAGGCTACCATGAAAGGTTGGTGTCCAAAAACAATAAAGAAATTCATTGTCTAGCATACATAATAATAATATAGTTCATGCCAGTTCATGACATACAATTTTTCTTTGCCTGAACAAATATGAAAATGAAATTTCTTCTTGAGGTATTGAAAATTCTGTTACTTTGTTCCCAGCCACAGAAAAATAAATTGAGGAGATGTTGTTTCTGAATACATCTAGATCTTTTTTTCTAATATTGGTGTTTGCCAAAAATGTATAGTGTACTTACAGACCAAAAATATTTAAGTAGCGTTAAAAGAAGGCACAATTCAAGTGCAAGAAGGAACTTTGGAAATTTGGATAATCTTGTGGTGGTTTAAGAATTAATGACCTCAGTCTTAAAGAACAGTTTCCACTTTGGGGATTTAGGAGGTATCCCTCCTTTATAATTTAGTTGCCTAATGCAAATAGAGAGAAAGAAAACAAAGGAAGAAGAAGTTTCTGCTATATTTAGCTAATTAAAATAATGTTCACTTTCTTCCTAACCTGGTTAATGAGAATTTCAGTGACTGTTCCATGTAGCAGTGATTCTGTTCAGTAAATATTGTTGTACTGGGGAACCACAGCCAATCTTCCTCAAAGAGAAACTTTCTTCTCTCTGAGAAATTCTTCATTAATTTATTTTCTTTTCTGCTATCAAATTAAATGTTCAAGTAGTGCTATGAAGAATTTATTTTGGGGGGGGTGATGGGCATGGGGGAGGGCATTTGTTGGGATGAGCACTGGGTGTTATATGGAAACCAACTTGACAATATTTAAAAGAATAAAAAAATAAAAACAAAACTTAAAAAAAAGAATACATACATACATACATGGATACCTACATCTACCTCTGGAAAAAAAGAATTTATATTGAGGAATTTTGGAGAACAAGATGTACATTGTAAGATAATTGCACAAATATCATTGTATGATAATTGTGTTTGCTGTTCTGCAAATTATATGCTATGTTGTTCAGTCCAGTTCTTTTCCAACTATGATTGTGGGATAAACAGAGGTTAGGTAAAATTTTATTTTTATTTTTTTTAACTTGAGGAATTTAGACCCCATATCATGGAAGTAAGGCTGAGTGTACACTTTGGAGTTTGCCAGGCCCCTCTGTTTTCTCTGGCATTCCAGCTTGCACAGAGGAAAGTATTGAAAAATGTGTGGTGAAATAAAAGCTTCTGATATCACTTTGACTAAATGGATTCTTCCATTCAGATATTTTTATATTGCATGTAATGATACTGTTTGGAGCTATCTGACCCTGACTATCTTTTTCCCCCTGAAATTTGTACCTGTCAATTTCTTTGTACAAAAAAAAATTGTGTTGACTGACAGAACTGTAGAAAGACGACAGGGAAGGAAGACTTTCAGTCAGATAGTAACTTCTTATTGGGCATTTGTGGGTCAATCCTTTCATACAGGGTTGATGGTAAGGTTCTGCCTATGTGGGATACTCATTCCTCAAGAATTTTCTTTGTGATCCTGTCCTAGGGACCTTCTCACCCTCAAATATTAAAAATATATTAAACCTGGGTGGAAATCCACAAAATATGAAGGAGAATAAGATGGAGAACATTTTCAGGAGCATACAAATTGGGAGAAATTGTAGTGCCATCCAGGAAATATTTCACAGAGGGCATGGTTGATGCTTCCATAATGAAGATAATAGAACTGGCATTAGAGGCAAACTACAGTAGGAATGGAAAGCTTCAGCTGTCCAGGCATCTCATAGAAGTCTCATTCCTCTAAAAGCAGAGCATCTGATAAAATTGTGATTTGCCTTACTGAGAATTTCATTTATCAGAATGTTGAAGAAGCAGTGAGGGGAAATGATGCTGTGGACTTAATTATGATGGAATACACCAGAATCTTGGGAGAAAATAACCATATAGCTTAGAAGTTCATTATAGAATGAAATTCCATGGTCAATATTTCTAAAAGGAAAGTTGGCTGTGAGGACATAGATACCTTTTCTCTGAATCTTTTAATTTCAAATTTCTTAAAGCCTTTGATGATAGTTTGACCAGAGAAGGAGAATCACAAGAGATTTAAGATTAAATTAAACTTTTTAAATGTTAAGTACACAGCATAGAGCATACAAATGGCATGCAAGTAGTACAGACTCAGAACATGCAAGTTACATGCAGATAGTACAGACTCAGCTCTTCTGGGTATATCAGTCTCATAAGGCCTAATTGACAGCAGCTTTCTTGCCTTATAACCAGAGTCCACTAGACCCATCCCTATAGCATATTGATCTGTGTGTCCTACTCTGAAAGTTTACTAGGTAAGTGAATTTTTCATATCTTGTGGATATTTTTTCCTCAGAGCTTTTTGGTATATACATGGGAGGATTCTATCTAGGCTTCATGGTCATACAGAATAATTCATTCATTTATGCATTTGCTTAACACCCTTCTGAAATCATGGATCGACCAATGTCCATCATGGAGAAACTATAAATTGTGGCAGCATTCTTGTATTAAGTGATCTTAGCAGTATTTTGGCCTCATGATTACATGTAGATTTAATATCTACCCAAGTTCCTCCTAACATGTTGATTAAGGGATTAATGCTATGTTGAAAGGATGTCTCCAGTGACATGCCAAGGGCCCTGCCAATTTAATTATGAGGTGATGGCAATTAGCAGGAATTAGCACCCATCATGTAAAAGTTCAGGTGCCTGTCAGTGAACCCAATTCATACCTGGACATATTGACAACCATTTGCCAAAACAGTCTAATCTTCTCTTGCTGCAGAGGTGATGAGCCTCCCTGGGTAAATGAAGGCACTGCCGGTAATAGGCACTTGGTAAGAGCCATGACTGGGAGGAGAAACTCAGGAGTAGGGCAAGGGGAATCCCTGCAAGACGATCAGTCCAAATGACTGCTTTGTCTACAAGGAGGAAACCGAGTAAGCATATTCATTCTTCATGTCCCACTTGACTTTAGAATGACGGCTGCATTTTTTAAAATGAACAGAGTTCTTATTTTACCCAAAGCTTAGATTAATTAAAATATGAAATTTTACCGGAAAAGACAGAAAAAGACAAATATTGTATGATCTCACTTATATATGGAACCTAAAAAAACTAAACTCATAGAACCAGAAAGTAAAACCATGGTTACTAGCTGGTGGGTGGGGGAAATGGGGAGATGTTGGTCAAAGAGTACACATTTCCACTCATAAGATGAATATGTTCTGGGGACCTAATGTGCAGTGTGGTGATTATGGTTAATAATACTGTGTATATATTTGAAAGTTGCTAATAGAGTAAGATCTTAAATGTTCCCACGGCAAAAAATAAATGGTAATTAGGTGACATGAGGGAGATGCTAGCTAATGCTATAGTGGTAATCATTTTGCAATATATGTGTATGAAATCATCAAATTGCAGACCATAAATTTAGACCACGCTGTAGATCAGTTATATATCAATAGAGCTGAGAAATTATAAATAAATCCACATCTTCCTCAAATATGAATTCAAAGAACAACTTGGTCTAAAAGTGCTGAGGCCAAATTTCTTATCCTAGTTTTGCCAGAACATGCTGAACTTTAGCTTCCTCTTCAATAAAGCAAATGGATCTCACTAGACAATTATTGTTTCTAATCAACATTTTCTCCAATCAATAGAGAAAACATGGAAGCCATAGAAAACCATAGGTAATTGAACAAAAACCAGAGAGAATTCCATTGTTTAGTTGTGACCATTAACCGAACTTGGGCTCTTTCCCTGTTTCGATGTTATTTTCACAGTCATGATGTCACACTATACAAAATGTGAACTGCTTTCCCACTCAAGCATTTTCCCATGGCACTAAACAATTGCTCAGAACTCTTCTAGCTATGATTTCAGGTATAGTTTCTTATGGTCAATATAAAGTCCATAAAAAATCATGGTGAATATTTGATTTTTTTCCAATAGCAAGTTAACATAAAGCTTTTCATGGAAAATAAATGGAACAACTGTAAAAATAAATTATTTGTTAACTTCGAAGGAATTATTAAAATACTTTATTTATACTTGTTGGCCCTCAATTGGACTGTAGCCTAATGAGCAGTCCAACATGGTGATTTAAAGAACAGATTGTACCACACATTTCTCCTCCAGGAGAAGCGGGTGATCCATAAGACTAGAAGTTTTAGCTTTTATGATAATTACTAGAGATGAATATAATGTTTAGAAAACATTAACTCCGAGTTAAGAAATTTAGAGTCTAATTTTAGCACCTGGTAAAACAATGAAACACTACTGCTATGTGAGATAGAATGAAGATGCCTGACTTTCGGAATGAATTTATGGCAGGATTTATGTGACAATAAAACAGTACAAAGAAATCAATAAAGCAACACTGGAAGTTTGGAGTATGGCCAAATATTGAACAACACCTCCTACATACAAGGCATTGGCCCTAGGTACATAGCATCTAAGGAGAACCAAAACACTGTTATTGCCTCTAGGAACTCACAGTTGAGTGATGAGATGACGGGTAATATTTTGACACAACTGTCTATAAGATGAGACACAGAGTAACAAGTGTCCTGGAAGACAGGTACTTGAAGAGTTACAGGAGTTTCTTTCTTCTGTTGACCTGAAAGAATACTTGGGCTGAGCAGTATCACGTATGAAAACAGAACACATGGTAGGATTTCCTTTCATTTACAGAGCCCTGAAGTTAATTCCAAATGTAGCTAAAAAGCAGCAGCAACTTTACTAAATGGGGAGAGGAACACTCCTAAAGTCCAATTATTAAAAAGATCAGGGACAGAGATGGAATCACACCTGCAGAGGACACAGAATCAAAGGTTTCAAAGTTGCAAAGGGAAACCATTTCAAAGCCTCCAGGATTAGGTCCCAGAGAGGCAATTAGAAGGCCCTTCTCGTGAAAGAGTTCTGAAGTATTTACACAAACATGCCCAAGAGAAGGAGTTTATTTCCAGACTACTAACACTGAAGTTGCTTTCCTCCTTAATTAAGTCTCTAGATCTTTGGAAACAAAATATTTCATTACCTTGCTGGCATGGCCCTAAATGGCATGGGAATCTAACATTTTCATCTAAGTGCTACCAAGTGCCAGAATAATAAACCAGGCAAATCTGCAACAGTCACCGGGGTTATTCTAAATATCTGGATGGTTGACAAAAAGTTTAATTTGATGTCAACATCATTACCTCAAGGTAACATAGTTAGACTCCTCAGGTAGAACTCTGGTTCCCTTTTCTTGTGCTCACACTTATCCTTCTGTGTTTTACCTATCTGTTTCTCTTCTGTCTCTCTCCCACTGGGCTTAATTTTAGGAGGAGAGACACTGTGTCCTGGCTCCCAGTTGTTTCCACAGTACCTAGCACAGTGTTTGGAGCATTACTACATACTCAATAAATATTAGTCAAATGAAAACACTAGGACAAAGTGCGGTGGGCCATCACTAAGTGGATAAGATATGCTGTGATATGATAAGATAATGCTAGGGTAAGGCAGTGGAGAGAGAGTTCTGCCAAGGGTCAGCCGATTCCTTGGAGATTTGCCTAAGTAGGTGGCACCATAGCTTAGAGTGCCCTTCTGTGTAAGGACTTTTTCTATATTTCAGTTGAAGATGATCAGGAATGATGGGCCTGGGGGAGCCAGCTTGATTGATATGCAGATACCATTTTCATACCCAAATGAGGACTTTGGAGCCCATGTGGTGCCACTTCCATGGTTTAAACATGGAGAAACTGGGGCACAGAAGGCAACAGCTACTGTCTCTGAGGCACAGGAGCCTTTCACACGCATGTCTCCGGACATGGTCAGTGCTCTTCCCTCTGCAATCAGCTGCCTCTCCTAAGGCCTGAAGCTCAACAGGCCAGCATTTCAAGGGCGGCTCCACAAAGGATGTACGCATGTGGCTCTGGGAGATATCTTGCCCTTTCCCCACCTCAATTTCCCTAATGGGAAAATCGGCCTTATAACGTGTGACCCCCAGGGCCACGGCGAGCTAGCCTTAGAGGAAACAGTGCTTGTAATGTTCCTAAGCAGAGTGCCTGTTACATAACTGATTCCAAGCTTCTGACTCCCTTTTCTTCCACCTGGGCACATGAGGGCTTTCAGGACACAGAGAGATGAAGAGTGTCTTTAGTGGTTGGGAAGGGTCAGCTGTGTAGAGGGTCTGGCTGCTCAGACCCATCTCATCCTTCAGGAGACAAATTTGGAGTTCAACATTGCATCAATGTGCTCTTGCTCTGAAGAGGCTCTCCTCCTTGCTCACTCCTGACACCTCCCCCCCCAAGGGAACACAGCCTTCCAAACACAGACTTTCCAATTTTCCTAGTAAAATGAATGAAAGAACCTTTTGGGGAATAAAGTGATTTCTTTTTAGCTCCACTTGTTTACTTTTCCATAAGCTCCCAAGATGGCTTACATGTTAGCTGTTAATCACACCATCTGTTCAAACAGTACTTCAGTAAATGATTCAATTCATACTTTTCTTCTAAAAGAATCTTTTTAAGGACAGTGTTTATGTCTCTGTTATCCTTCATTTGGCAAAGTAGTATGAGCTATTTTAACTTTGCTATCGTTGTAAACACACATTGAGCTCCCTACTTCTTAACTGTACAGAAAACAAGACAACTTCTTATTGTTCCACTTGACTCTCTGCTTAGAGGGGCGAGGGTGCTAGTTATTAGACAGAAATTCTGTATTTTGTAAAAGTTTTTTAAATTTATTTATTTTGAGAGAGGGAGAGCAAACACAAGTGGGGGAGGGGGCGGGGGGGAGAGAATCCCACACAGGCTCCGTGCTGTCCGTGCAGAGCCTGATGAGGGGCTTTCTCTCACAAACCCACAAGATCATGACCTGAGCTGAAACCAAGAGTCGGATGCTTAACCAGCTGAGATACCCAGGCACCCCAGAGGTTCTACACTTTTTAAAAAGAAAAAAAAAAGACAAGAATTTCCAGTCAGTATTTTCTCTGATATCTTGAGTTTAGTAACAATGACTAGGTCCTAGCTACATAAGACTATTGAGGCAAGTCCAAATGAACAGAGGATCCTTAGCAGTTGGAAAGCATCAGCTATGCTGAGGAGCCTAGCTGCTCAGATGCGTCTCATCTTTCAGGAGGCCAAGTTGCCACTGGTTTAGAGAGGTACTGGGAAGAAGCGCTTGGATCTTCTCAGCAAGTTCAGCCCCCAAACTTGGGTGATACCAGGCCTGGGCAGGAAGTAAAAGGGCTGGTGGGGCTTTGGGGGAAAAGAGAGGTTCTGGAGTTGGTAGGGTGAGAAGTGCAGGAGAGTAGAGGTGAACTTCTTTTTGTTGCAAAATGTTCTATGACCACCTGAAGGTCCTATATCTATGTGAGTGTCTGGGGAAGTTCACACAGCAGCATGGGTTTGTGCTAATACTGGTCTCTCCTGCTTTCTAAGACCAGTAGCTACATGCAAGGAGTGCTCCATTGTGCAATTATGTACACAGTGTAAGAGATGCACAAAGTCAGCACATACAAACTTGTATGTTGGGACCCCAAGGAACAAGTGATTTGCTCTTCATGCTGAGAGATAAACGTACTTGAAGAAGGCTCAAATTTGTGGAGATAATCTTTCTGGGTTTCTAGGATTGGATAGTTTACTAGTTTTAAGTGCACACATTTTGCAGAGTCCACATCAATTCTGTACATAGGTTGGAAATGAATGAAGTGTTTGTGGGATTGATAATAAATTTGTATGGTGGGATTAGCAACAGTCAGGACCCCCACGCAGGCTGGATTCACATCTTTGAAGGTCTTACATGTCACAATGAAGAGTTTAGCTTCTTGCTTCCACAACTAGACATCATTGAGGGCTTTCC